CTTTAACATTTCTACTTTTTATTAGTAATATTAATCAAATAGTTATCAGTAAATGATTATTATCGATAATATTTTAGCGACTATTTCATAAAATAATTATTAAAAATGTTTTTTTCCAATTATTTTGAGCTGAATTTTTGATCGAAAAGGATTATATTAGTCTATTAATATCGTGATTTTTTATTATTCGAGAAATCCTTCCCGCCTTACATACTTTCTAAGAGATATACACACATATCTAATCATCTCTTCCAAAGAACTCAAAAGTAATTATTTAACTTTCATATATTACTTATTTATTATTTAAGTAATTAGTTCTTCTCTCTACTTGCAAAATTATCATTTGTCTTAATACATATTGTTACTTAAAAAAGATTTGCTTATAGTCGCACAGATTTTAAATAATTAATTTCACATTTATTAAGCGTTTGTTAACTTTTCATGTGCCCTTTGAACTTTTTTAAACTTATTTCAGATAAAATTTAAAAAAGACTTTAAGGAAATTAAAATGGCTAGCATTTTAATTTACTAAAAATCCCTGTTTACAATTGCAAACTTTTAAAAATGCGATCTTTTCAGACTTTGCAAATTTCAAATTTTTGTTGATTATTTGTAGCATTATTAGTATGAAAGTGTTATTTCAAGCTAACGTTGCACGTATTTCAGATTTGTACTAAGTCATTTGATTCCGAAAAATCACATATATTTGTAAGATTACGTGATAATTCCTATTTTTAACTACATTTTTACGTCAAATTAATGCAATTTCCTAATTAACATATTATCTGTACATTGATCTTAAGTAATACTTACAAAAATTTGTCCAGCTTGCTATTTTTGAACTTACTGCAAATTAGAAGTAAGTATTCATACACGTTTTTCAACTCCTTAATCAGTCAAAATTACGTCAAAAAAGATTCCATTTTCCGTCAAACATTATATTAAATTTTAATAATTATACGAATTTTTAAGAATAAATTGTAATAATTTTTTTAATTTAAAATTTTTGCTAACGAAAATTTGAAATAAATTTTTGAATTGCTTCCTAAATATGCAAATTTTCTTAGTGAGAAGAAATTTTTTGATTGTATCCAAGCAACCAATTTTAAAAGGCTATCGACGAAACAAAAATAATGGATCAAAACAAACAAATGCGTTGTCAGCACTGGAAATTACGAATGGCAAAGTTAGTATAATTTGTTTTGTTTTTTATTTTATTTGACCCGATCAAAATATTCAAATTTTCAGCGCATTAATCTGTTTTCTGATTGTGCTAATTTAAAATTTTTAGTGCTATAATTTAGCCTAAACTTTTGTGCACAAAAATGGATTTATGCTTTAAGCTAGTATTTTATGGATAAGCAATAACACTTTTAAGCTTATTACTGTATTGAACACTTTTTAAATTACT